CCAAGAATTTCAGCGGGGCTCTGCAGGACTCACAGCCATGGCTCCTTGAGGTAGAGTGCGCACATATTCTTGCAAATTATCATGCTTGATCATATAAAAACTAGACAGGCTTCTCGGCTAGCAGGTGTGCCGCGAGTCGCGCGTCGGAGGCATCTGGCGCTTTGAGCTCCAGGCACAGGGCGTTCATGGGCGCTCACGCTTTTGTAGCTTCTAGGGCCCATGGAGTTAAGGGTTTATCACGGGCGTGTGTTTTTTAGGGGTTTTCATAAGGGCTTCTGCTTGGAGCCATGTTTAGGTGGCTCGGATGCTGAGAGGGATCCCTGCCATTGAGTGCTGGGGTTCCTTGCCGCTCCCCCCCAGACCAACATCTAAAACAACATACTGCCGCTATACACCTGTCTGTAGATGTATAATATATATATATATATATATATACTGATATTGATACTGATACTGATATTGATATCAGCATGTATACTCCTTTATGCAATTCAGATGTAGACGAGCCACCAATCGCCTTCGAACTGCGGGAGCTCATGGATATTGCCCGAAGTTTTCGAGTTTCATGGTCCGGTTGTCGGATGCCTTGCTTAGAACGCATCCAGGCCCTCCGCAAAACCGGTACCAATTCTAACTTTTCTCGGCTTCGGCTTTCTAAGACTACTCGGGCAACTTCGAAAATGCCTGAGGCAGGCGGCGATCCAATCGAGCATGCATGGAATGCCTGGCTGACGGCGCACCCGGCTAAGAGCTCAGCTCGCAGACAGTCGGGGGTGTGTACCAGCATCTGCCGACGTGCTGTGCCTGGTACCAGCTGACGGGGTGCCACGCGTGCGAACCGTTTCTGCATGGCTCGTGCTAGCTTATGCCATTTTATGATTGACTTTTCTTGGGATTCCTTGGCACTCTGGCAGGCTAATATGACCATCGCGAAGATAGTTACTTACCCGAAACCCCTATGGCGCTGGCCGCATTATTCCATGTGCTTGATCGTCAACTGTCCTAAGCCCTTTCAGACCCCGAACACCCTCTCAGTAAACCCCTCAACGCTCTAAACCCAGAGCTCCTCGTGGCATGGCTAAAATGCGCACTGCTCCCGAGGCCGACAGCCATGGAGATGCACGAGCTTCGCATCTCCTTCGAGTCACCGGAGCGGCGCTGGCGCCGTTCTCAGCACGTCCCGCGCATTTCACAGAAACACGGCAACACGGCTACAATAGCCGTAACGGTGCATCCTGAACCTCACATCATTAATTAGGACCTAAATATTTAGGAGCATGACAACTTCGACAGCTCTCGAGCCAGTGCGCTTTGGTCACTTTCGGCTGCTTGGAATATCTTGCAAGAACTCCGCGGGAGAGGAGCGTTTATTGAACCACCATGGCAGATCCCAGATCTCGGCGAAAGAGAGAAGCAGTTGAAGCTGTGCTGCTTCAGATTGCTGTTGGAGGGAGTTGCGGGGCTGCCCGGCTGGTTGCTGAAGTTGTATTCCCAAACACAATGCATGGGTTCACCCAGAAATTCCGGGATCTGGGCTTCAGTTATAAAAGAAGTTCGTCATGGAGGGAGATTCAGTTCAAACCTGTCAGGCCGGGCCAATTCTTAGTGAGAAGGAGACGGCCGCCTGGCATGCACCAAGGAACCTGGAGGTTCATGGGTACGTGTAACTGGGATTCATGAGTAGTGGGGCTATAGGGCATCTATTGTAGTACCCTCCTTAAGCTTGAAAGTTGCAGTGCCCATGAACCGGCTTCTGATGTGGATTTCCAGCATGCCCCTTAGCCCTGAAACATCTTGTCCACCCCGGGTCTAGTGCAACGGGTACTCCCTGTAAGTACTTAAACTTGCTATGTTGTAGGGTTGGGGGGTTGCAGATAAACTCCCGACTTGTGCACTGGAGAGACGACCAAGGTGGAGAGCCATCCCCTCCTGTCAGGCGAGTACAACTCTCTGACCAGGTGCTCTGGTGCAAAGGTTTGAGGTTGGGACTTCAAGCATTCGAGCCTGTGTCAGTGCTGTAGGTGTGGGTGTCCTTTCTCTTGCGGGACTGATGTGCAAGGCCAAGGTCAGAGCAGAATCTTGAAGCCACCCTAAACCCCTCCTAACCATCACACTGGGGGGCGGGGGGGGGCATTGGGGTTGTTGGCTGCCAGCGATATAAAGGGCCTTCAGGCGCGCAGCCCAGAAGATCTGGCAATAAATTTCAGGGCTTATTGGGTTTATTGGGCTTCAGGCCGGCTGAGAGTAAGATGTGCTTTAAGCTTGAAAGTTGTGTGTCTTGGGCATTCCGCTGAAGGCGGGGTTGACCTGGTGAGCACTGGGCCTTCTGGGTCAGGGAAGGATGTAGAATTGCAAAGGCAGCGCCTCCTTCTTTCCAGCTGCGCGAGTCGTTTCTTGCATCTACTTGCATACCCTAGCAAGGTCAAGGGCCCAGGTTACGCTACATATCAGGTGTGGGGCCCATCACTGCATCCCAGAGCTTTGGGCGTTTGAGGGCTTCTTTAGGTTCGCAATCATTTATCGCGAAGCCTTGGCCCCAACACCTGAGCCCGAAATCACCGGATGACTACCCAGAAGAGGGCGCAGGACTTGCATAGGCTATTCACTATAGGGAGGAACGGGTGGTCGCTTAATACCAAAGTCGGAGTCGCAAGCCCTAAACCTTCAGAGCTGATGGGCAGGTCTCTGAAGCTCTCCATGTCAACTGAAGGCCCCGGGACGACCGACACCGACACACACACACACACACACACAGACACACACACAGACACACACACACACACACAGACACACACACACAGACACACACACAGACACACAGACACAGACACACAGACACAGACACACAGACACAGACACACAGACACAGACACACAGACACAGACACACAGACACAGACACAGACACGATTCTTTGGAAACCGCAGGGTTCCTAGGATATTTTGATTAAGCGAGAGAGGCTGGAGCCGAGCATGGCAAAACCTCTCTGTGCTACGCATGCGCACTCCTCTTTCTCTGTATGCAGTTGCTCAGCGAATGGGAGGGTGGTGGGAGCTGCTGCGCGGCAGCTGAGCTCAGAGTGAGCCTTCGCTGAGTCACTTGCCTTGCGTTTCTTCCTGCTGTGTTGGCGCTGTGCCCTCAGAGCCCTGGACATGCTTGGACAGGGGGGTAACAAGGGCCAGGACTCCATGGCAGGATGCATTGCAGAAGCGGCCGCTTTTGACGGCCATTTGCAGTACTGTCGCAGAATGGTGAGCGCTTCTATCTTCAAGCCAACTTGGGAGTTGCTTCGACAGCCACATGCGATTGAGCTCCTTGCGCAAACGCCGATTGGACCTGTGGGTCCGATGCCTGTTTTGTACGGAGATCTACTCGGGAGCACCGAGGAAGCAGAGGGAGTGATTGAAGCGCAGCAGTTTAAGATCCGCCGAGTCACGTGTTCTACTTTGTCATGGGAACAAAGCTTGGCTCGGTACATGGTTGCAGCGATTCGCAAATGGGTTGGAGTCATCTTGACCCACCCTCCTGCGTTCGATCTGGGCAGGAAGCTCAACAAGATTGAACCTCTTGGAGCCACCTTACATTCCGGCCTCCTTGATGTTTTTGCTGGCAAGGCTGCTGGAACTTTGCATGGCCGTGTTGGGCCTATGCTGCGTTTCGTTGCTTGGTGCAACGATCAGGGCATTACAGCTTTTCCGATCCATGAGCAGAGTGTTTATGACTTTGTGCGTGCCAATGAAGATTGCTCGGCCCCTACATTCTTGAGGAGTTTTCTCGTCAGTTTGTCATTTTGTCACCACATGTTAGGCCTCCTGGGAGCCCATGAGGCCGTGAAGAGTCTGCGCGTCGTCGGTGTAACGCGGCGTGCTTACTTACGTAAGAAGAAGAAAGTGCAGCGACCGCCGCTCACTGTGGCTATGGTAGATGATCTTGAGCGCTTCGTGTGTGAACAAGGCGGTTCCGTTCAGGACCAAATCGCTGCTGGCTTCTTTCTTCTTTGCGTCTTCATGCGGGGACGATATAGCGATTGCCTGAACTTGCAAGAGCTTGTGGTTGACTCGCCTGACCTTGCTGCCAGGCCGTTACTCGGGTATGTTGAGGGTTCTGTGTCGCGATGCAAGACCGCGTATACAGTTGAGCGGAAAACGCAACTTTTGCCCATGGTCGCGCCGCGGCAAGGTGTGTCAGGCCTTGACTGGTTCTCCGCTTGGTTGGAGTTGAGGAAGCGTGCAAGGGTGCCTGTGGGTGCTGGGGTGCCTTTACTACCTGCTCCGAACGGGGAAGGGTGGCAGCGCGTCCCGCCGACTGCAGCCATGGCTGGTGATTGGCTGCGCAACATCCTGAAGAGTCGCGGTCACGACGGAAGTCTGGTTTCTCGCATTGGTACTCACTCGTGCAAGACCACAACGCTATCTTGGATGAGCAAGGCTGGTGTGGATCTACCGACGCGGAGGTTACTTGGGTATCACGCGCAGGCTGACGAGCGCACACCTTTGGTGTATTCTCGTGATGCGATGTCGGGGCCAGTGCGGGCGTTGGAGGGCGTGATCCTGATGATTCACAAGTCAGAGTTTTTGCCTGATGCTTCTCGTTCAGGTTACTTCCCGAAAGCGGTGAAGCCGCCAGTGCCCGCTCCTGATGATGATGAGTGCTCCGACAGTGAGGATTCGGCGGATGAAGAAGACAACCAAGAAGACTTGGATAAGACTGATGCGGCCGAACAAGATGTTGTCGGCGAGTGGAGGCACATCAATGAGGCCGCAGGCGGGAGCGCCGGCGAGGCGCCTGTCTTCCGCAACAAGCTCTCGAGGACGATCCACCGAGTGGTGGACGGAGCGGAAGCCAAGTTCCGCTGCGGGAGAGCCAACTCAGCGAACTATTCTAGACTGGGAGCCTTGCCAAAGTTCGCGTATCCGATGTGCAAAGGCTGCTTCAATGTCTAGTCTAGTTGGCGAGCCCAAGTGCTCGCTATACGCCGAGGGGTGTGTCACTGAGTCCGGCGGCGATCGCCGTGTGGTCATGGCCTCGAGCGAGCCCATGGAGCATATGACGTGAGGGTGCGCGTGTTGCCAGAGTTGGCAAAACAAGTGAGCTGGTGCTGAGAGTTCAGCAGAGACCTTGCAAGGGCTCACAAGAAGGGTCAGTGGACCCGTGAGCTGCGAGCGCAGCATGTTAAGTGCTCGAGTGGGCTCAAGCAGAAGCAGCATCATTGAGATTGATCTTGCGTGATCCTTGACTAGGAAGATTGCAGCGTGCGCTACCTTGCTTCAACGTTGCGTGCAGTCTCGTTTCTAGGTAACTGTGCTTTGCTTTTGCTCTGTTTGCTGCTGGGTTGCGTGTAAGTAGCCTGTCGACTTTCGCCGCCATGTCTGTGACTGATAGTACCCCGAACTTTCGAGCTCGTGCGACTTCGCTTGGCCTTGCAGGTGATGTGTTGGACCTCATCGTGGACTCCGGCGTCAACGCTCTTGCAAAGTATGCTTTCAGTAGTTCGTATGTACCTGGCCAGCCCGACGAGTCCCCTTTTGTACGGGCCATAAAGGACATGCTAAAGCGCGATGCCACAGTAGGAGAACTGGCAGTGATGCGACGACTGTTACATGAAGCGTACAGCATGGCGTCTGCAGAGCTCCGTCAGTCCGTGGAGAGATCCGAAGATGCACCCACAAAGAAACTTGCGCAGCCCGAGAGGGCAGATCGCTTGGCAAAGCAGCAAGCAAGGCTTGCAGGCCTAAAGATCGAGGGCGCCCTCGAGCCCGCGGATCGGCTCATTGACTTGATGGTGGCGCAATATGAAGAGAACCGCGTTTCACATGTCGAATTGTCAAGATGCATCAGCAAAGAGCAAGAAGTTCTTTCCGCGTCGAGCAAGGAAGATCGGCACTTGACGATCGACAGCGCAGGCACTGTCAGGATCAAAGGTAAAGAAACCCACCTGAGTGCCGACCTGTCGTCCGACTTGCTGTTGCGGTACGCCTTGACACGGCGGGGGCTTGCCTGTGATCAGGCTAATCTCTTGGCCTTTTCGCACCATGACGCGTGGACTGAGCGGCTGATGAGAGCTCGTCTTGAACCGCCGCCCCCAAACTATGCCCCAATATCGCAAGCGCAGGTCATTGCCGCAGACAGGAAGCTCTGGGTCAAACTAGCTGAACTCACTCGCGCAGGAGTTCAGGTCACTGCTGCAGGACGCCCTCTTGACGCAGTTTGGGCGCAGGCGTGCGATCATCCGGATGTGTTGCATCTGTTGCAGCCCATGCCTGTGGCGTGTGGATCGACACCCCTCTTCCGGTTTGGCAAGGGTGAAGGCGCCGAATCCAAAGGGTCGGGCAAGTTCAGGGGTGGTCCTTACGGGCGTGGAAAGGGTGCTGGTAAGTCCAAAGGCGGAGGTTTCGTTCCAAAAGCCTTGGAAGGAGGCGTCAGTTGCACCACTCAGGGCCATGCGTTGTGTTTCGGCCACAACCTTGGCACTTGCAAAGAAAAGGTCGAGAGGCAGCGTTGTTCCAAAGGATTGCACTTGTGCTGCTTTCCAGGTTGTTTCGGAAACCACAGATTTCTGGATTGCCCAAAGCGCGGTGACAAGCGCGAAGCTGCTGAGTGACTATCAGCTGAGTTGTCGGGGCCTGGGGTGACGGCGCCGTCAGATGGTGAGGTATTTTCCGTGGACCCATCGTTGGCAGATCGCAAAGAATTGTGCGTTGTGCCGCTGCCTTGTCCAGAAGAGACGAGTAGCGTGTCTGCGCATCGCAAGGCGGATGCCCAATGCGTTGTTGAAAGCGCATCAATCCCTCTTAGCTCTAAACCATTAGGTAGCCCTCTTGTTGGAGAGGTTGGTGATAGTAGTTCCTGTTCCCACTGCTGCCTGCGTTCCCGCGAGGTTGATGCGTTCCCGAATTCCACCTCGTGTAGTGAGGTGTTACCTCGCGTTGAAACATCTCTGTCGGATCGGCCGCGCTTGGGTGGCAGGGGGCAAGTGTCGTGTCAAGTTCCGCGTAAGGGCTTGGTGCTTGAGTTGTGTGCCAGAAGCGCTACACTGTCAAGCTGTTTTGCAGAAGCTCGGTTTGAAGTGCTCCCTGTTGATCACCAAACCAATCGGTACCATACTCTTGCAAAAACGTGCAATCTGAGCCTCGCCGAGGAGTCGTCTTGGGAATATCTTCGATGGGTGTGCGAGACTTTCCCAGTGCAGTTTGTTCATGCAGCTCCCCCGCATGGTACTTGCGCCAAGAAGCGAGTGAGCGTGAGGGGTTTGGATCGTGCGCCTGTCCGTAGCGAAGCCTGGCCGTGGGGTTTCCCTGATCTGTCTAGCGCTGACAGGGCTCGTGTTGATTGCGCCAATGCAATCTTTAAGGGCTTGGTCAGTTTCATTTCCTTCCTCGATGCCAAGGGCATCTTGTGGTCACTTGAGAACCCCAAAACCTCAATGTTGTGGGAGTTGCCACCTTTGCGTAGCATACTTGAGAGATCGCATTCTTTCTGCTTGCAGGCGTGTGCGTACGGTGGGCCGCGACCCGGCTGGCGCATGTTTGTGACAAATGTACCAGGCCTGCGTTCTTTAGCCGCCTCCTGCCCTGGGGGGCACGTGCATCAGCACTTCTTGTGCGAGCGTGGTGGCAGTGAGGATGCAAATTATCCACGTCCCTTGTGTGTGCAGATCGTTCAACAAGTTTGTCTGGCTCTTGGTGTACCAGCTTTAGATGAGCCCAGCGCAGCACCTGTACATGCGTCGCATGCAATTACGGTAGCCGCTTGCAAACAGCCGCGGGGGCGTCATATACCCCCTGTCATGTCAGAATTTGCGGACATCACTTCTTTGGACCTGGATCGAGTCCCGCCTGTGAACACTAAGCGTCGCTTGTTGACTGCGTGTCGTCATGTGCCAGCCGGCTCCAAGCTGCTGTCTTTTGTCAAAGTGGGGGATGAGCAGGACAGCAGCTTTAGGTGCTTCTTTGGCTGCTATCGCACCAAGGAAGTGTTTCTGCGTGAGGCCATGCGTCTAGTTCATCCATTCGACAAGTTCCTGCCTTTGCCAGATGAGGTCAAGAGGACCCTGTTCGCTACCTTGTGTCATGGCCCCGCGTGGATTGCAGCGCGCCGTGCAGAGACTTTAGGCAAATGGACGTCGTGGGCGGCAGATCTTTTGCCCAAGGATTTGGAGCTGCGTTCGAGTCTTGAGCCCGGGGTTCGTAAAGTGCTCAAGTCAAAGCGTTTGCTGTTGCTTCAGAGGATTGCCGAGGACATTGATTGGCCTGATGCTGGGCTGTTTCAGCAGATCCAGGAAGGCTTTGAGCTGGTAGGGAATCAAGGGCCCTCGGGCGTCTTTGCAACGGAGTTGCGTCCCGCTCAGCTCACCGTGTCGCAGCTTGACGATCTAGTAAAATTCATGAAGCCAGCCTTGTTAGGGAAAGTTCGCTCCGCAGATCTTGACGATGATGCGCAGTTGCTGTGGGACAAGACTATGCAAGAAGTGAGCGAAGGCTTGCTGGAGGGTCCCCTCACAGTGCAGCAAGTCGAAGAGAGATATGGTGGGGCATGGATCCCAGTTCGTCGCTTTGGCGTGTGGCAATCGTCTTCAGGCAAGCAGAAGCTCCGACCAATTGATGATTATTCGGAAAACAAGGTTAATCTAGCTTTTGGTTACGCTGATAAGATTGATCTGAGAGCTTTAGATCAGCTTGTTTGCTCGGTGCGTTTGTGGATGCAGCAAGTCCTTGCTGATGGCAAGGTGGCCATTGAGTTGTCGGATGGTTCGTGCCTGCGTGGGTCCATCCATCCGTGCTGGCGCTCAGAAGAGGGACGGTTGCTCGAGCTCGC